CATGGGACATGGAGTTCCTGCTGGCGCTGATATAAATATGCTTTATTGCCTACGCTTCAGGGCGTAGATGGCATAGTCCTTTGGAGAAAATACTACGTAGTAATTTTCTCATGAGGGCAGGATCCCAACAGCTGTTTGTTGCTACAGAAGCACATTTATAACCAGAAACGTGAAGTCGCCATCTGAAACAAACAGAACAGATTATTCGTGTGATATGCTTGTCAGCCACTAGATGGTGCCATCGGATGAGAGAAATACTCCAGAAAGAAGCTTTAAGAAATATCTCCAAACTGTGAAGGTTGGTGTCAAAACATGAACCTGAAATGGTTCTCCACGCCTTTATCTCCTCCCGTCTAGATTACTGTAACACACTCTTCACATCTTTTAACAAAAAAGCCCTCGACCGCCTTAAGCTGGTCCAGCATGCTGCAGCGAGGCTCCAAACTGGAGCAAACAGAAGAGCACACATCACTCCTATTCTATTGTAAGTTACATGTGTTTGTATAGCCCCTTCTTAGGGTTCTACAACCTCCCGCAAGGCGCTTCACAACACAATCAGTCAATCACCCATTCACACACATTCACAGGCTGGTGGGGATGAGCTACGATGTAGCTACAGCCGCCTGAGAGCACTGACAGAGACGAGGCTGCTGAGCACAGGCGCCACCGGTCCGTCCGACCACCACCAGCCAAGGCGGGTTGAGTGTCTTGCCCAAGGACACAACAGCAGAATTCTCTGTACTGAGCTGGAATCGAACCTGCAACATTCCAACAACTGGACAACCCGCTCTACCTCCTGAGCTGCTGCTGTCCCAAAATATAACACTAGAACCTTCAGGGCTCTACACGGTCGAGCTCCTCCCCATATTACTGATCTGTTAAAGCCATATGCTCCAACCCGAGCCCTCAGGTCCACTCACCAGAACCTTCTAGAAGTTCCAAAGACCAGATATAAAGTGGAGGTGATCGCTCCTTCCAGACTGTTGCACCCCGACTCTGGAATGATCTTCCTTCATCCGTACGCAGCGATGACTTTTATT